GGCAACCTAAATTGTATCCACCATGGTGTAAAGTCTACTTGCAGCTAAACTTGTAGAAATCTGAGAATTAAGTCCTTACCTATACATGACAATCATCACATCCTTAATCCATGAGAACTCTGATCGGATGGTCAAGCTGTAAAACTTTCTCGTGTATTTCTCGACAAACATACTCTCTTGATTCAATTGTGTAAATTGTTGATGAGTTTGTTGCTTATAATTAGCAAGCATAAAGTAGTAGGTCATAATAGTCTTCATATCATCCCATGATCTATCAAAATGAGTTTGTTGGTACTTTACCCACCAAAGCTTTGCAGCCTTGCTATACCTTTCAAGTTTGATTTTGCAAAGAATACCTTCCTCTTATCAGTCAAACAATGCCATATGAGGAAGCTTTCAATGCCATGCAACCAATCAAGGAATATCTCAAGATTATTGTCTCCGTGAAAATCTCTAATCTCTAATTTAACCCCTTTATCAAAATCAAACAATATTTGATTTTCTTGAATTGGGCCTTGCGGTGGAGAGACTTGTGTGAACAGTGGTTGTTGATTGATAACTGATGAGGAAGAATCATGATTTGCATGCATCTTTACCACTTTATCCTTTTTATCTAGGACAATGGCCATCAAGGCTTCTGTATTTTCTTTTATCGAGGCGATAAATGCTTGGAGAGAATCCATTGATCCTTGGAGCGAAACTATTTGCAAATCATGTGCTTCAACTCTAGTACTTAACTCGGCATTGGTCACTATCTTGATTGAAGTAGAATTTAGAGAAATATTTTGAAAATTCTAGGATTAATCTATAATTTAAAAAAATACTGGGGCTAAAATGTTATTTCCAAAACTTTAGAGGCTAAACTATAATTTCAAAAAATTTGAGGTTAAAGTGAAATTTCTAAAACTTTTGGGGGGATGAAAATGTAATTTCAAAAACTCTATGGGTCAAATGTATACTTTTTAAGAGGCTTGGGGATGTTTGGTATAATTTCAGAGGTGTGTGTATGGGTATTGTATTTTTTGAAATTTTGGGTTGGACGGTAGAAGGAATTTTTTTTTTTTTTCTAATGAGCTGGGGGTAAACGTGGGCTTAGAGCTGATTTGAAGTTGGTTTGGACTAAAGGGTTTAAGAAGTTGAGTTAGGAGAATATGGGCAAAAGACTAGACAATATTTTCTTCTTCCTTAGGCAGATTACAATTCGCAGTCCTAAAATTTAGTTGCAACAAAGAGAGCCAAAAGTGACGATAAGATTGACGATAAGGAATAGTAAGACAATGGAAACCAACTTGATTGAAGCCTTTTTTGACGAAGATGCAAACTGTTGATGCACATAAAAGAATTTATGCACTACCTGTCAAGTATTTAATGTAGCAATAAATGAGAAGAGTTAACACAAGTGAAATTCAATTTAAGTGGCTTGGTCAAGTTGACCTATTCCACTGTGAAGGGCTAGGATGACCTGAGTACAGGGTGCTCTGGTGTGAGTGATAGGTGTGAAATGTCCCCCTTGTGTAAGTGGGGTCCTACAATTTATATGCGTCTCCTAACAGATTGAGACACCTTTCTCATATTAGGTAAGGTAGTTCAGTGCAGGTGGCGTCATTCTCATAACAGGTTAGACAATTCCGTGGAGGTGGTGGTGACATGTGCGTTCCAAGGAAATCACCTCGCATGTCAGTTGTGAACTGAGTTTCTCACCATGATGCGGTTGACTTGATTCTCTTAAGATGACGCGGCTAACCTAACTTCTCTGACCTATATTGCTTGAGGTGGGTCTAGTTTGTATTTCTGAATTGGACCTGATCTATAATTCTAGGCCGGGACCATCATTTGCCCTCTATACTCCGAGCTCAATAGGATTTGGGGGAGAGGGCATCAATAAGAAATCTTGTCCTTATCCTCTTTTAACAGTTAAAAACTCTGATGAGGGAGAAGTAGACATGACAGGGGCTATAGAGGAGAAATTGTGTGTAGCTCACGAGAGAGCCGCACTTCTTGAGATTGAGTTTTTGGAGACTGACGTTACTTACGTGAAAGCAGAGGCAGAGATAGGCCGAGATCTTGGCAACTCGCGAGAGAGCCGCTAAGCTGGAGACTAAAGCTACTTGGGTGAGAGCAGATGTAGAGTTAGGCCGAGCTTCTAGAGATTCGCGAGGGAGCCCGCTAAGTTGGAGACTGCGATTGCTTGCGTAAGAAAAGAAATAGAGTTAAACCGAGCTTTTGATCACTCGAGAGCCTTACCCCCAAAAGATGGAGAAGAGGATGTAGATGGTAGTGAGGGTAGCCAGAGGGTGCTGGTGGTAAGAGACGCGTGCTGGTGCTGGCAGTGAGGTGCTGCGTGAGAGGCACAGTGCTAGGGGAGTGTGGGCGTCGGGTGTGGGAGATGAGGAAGCCTGAGGAGGGGGCTCTAGATATGAGAAGACGGGCACTAGAGGGCATTGCTGGATGAGTTGGACACGTGATGTGACCATGCGCCCAAACTGGTGAGACAGGTGCCAAGGTGGGTGAGGAGGCAGACGCCAAGGTGGGTGAGAAGGAAGGCGCCAACGCGGGCAACGCGCATGAGGCGTAGAGGTGAGAACGGGCGCCCTTGGTAGGTGAGGTGCGTAGGCACCCTTGGCAGCCAAGGTGAAGAGCGCTGATGTGAGCAAGGATATGGGCACCCTTGGTAGACAAGATGTGGGGTGGCAATGTGAGCACGGTCATGGACGCCCTTGGCAGGCGAGGTGCGAGGCTCCTTTAGCAAGTGAGGCGTTGAGGTGACGCCGTTGACAATCGAGGAATAGAGGTGACCTTGGAAGCGGGCGCCCTTGGTAGACAAGGCGCAGAGGTGAGCACGGGCACGAGCATGGGTGCCCTTAGTAGGCGAGATGCCAAAGTGAAAAAAAGGCGCGGGCAGCCTTGGCAGTTGAGACACCGAGATAAGCATGCATGCGAGCGCCCTCAGCGGGCTAGGTACGAGGGTGTCAAAATAGGCGAGGCACCGAGGTGAGCACGCGGACGAAATTCCTTAATGGGCTTGGTGCGGGGCGTCGAGGCAGGCATAGCGCCGAGTTGAGCACGCATACAGGCGCCCTTGGCAAGCGGGCATTTTAGGGCACTGGGTGAGGCGCTTGGGACGCTGCCCCTTTTGGGTGTTGGGGCACGATTCCTCAAGGGTGCCCAACAAGCAACAATTGAATGAGTTGTTGATTTTGGTTCACTAACAATTGTATATTTTCAGTAATTATGGTTCGGCAACAGTTTGCTAGTGAGGGTAGGACCTCATCCTAGCATTGTTGATCATCTTCTGTCTTTTGATTTATGGATCTAGTCGTACTAGCCATCAATGCAAAAAAATAGTTGAGTGAAAACTACTCAATCCCACTGACGGCGTCAAACTGATGATGCACAAAAGTGAATTTATATACTACCTGTCAAATATTTAATGCAGTAATAAATGAGGAGAGTTAACAGAAGAAAAACACAATTTAAGTGGTTCAGTTAAACTGACATATTCCACTGTGAAGGACTAGAATGACTTAAGTGTTTTATTGTTTTAAGGAGTACAGGGTGCTCAAGTGTGAGCTGCCCCCCTTATGTAGGTGAGATTTACAATTTATAGGTGCTTCCTAATAGATTGAGACACCTTTCTCGTATTAGGTGAAGTAGTTCGATGTAGGTGGCACCCTTCTCATAATAGGTAACACAATTCCGTGGAAGTAGTGACATGCGCGTTCCAAGAAAATCACCACGCATGTTAGTTGTGACCTGAGTCTTTCACCAACACACGACGAACTTGATTCTCTCAAGATAGCGAGGCTAACCTGACCTAACTTCTTTGACCTTTATTGTTTGATGTGAGTCTGGTTTGTGTTTTTGAATTAGGCCTAATCTATAATTCTGGGTCTGGCCCATCACAAGCAACTGAAGTGCTACAACGACGAAGAATCTGGTGCGAAACAAAATTATAATTGTTGATTGAAATTTTGCTCTAATACCAAATTGATGTAGGGTGTGAAGGACTAGACATCAAAGAATAAAAAGAGAAGAAGAAAAAAGAGGGGTGGAAATGATTTACCTCATTCTCGTAACGAATCGGTCAAGAAATCCACACAATTCTCCACAGATAAACAATTTTTATTATATCACACTCTAATAAAAATAGTTGAAATTACACAATTATTTATAGGTCAAATTTCTTACTAAAATAAAAATTATTCTCCTCCTAAAATTCTAAACGAGTTTTATAATGAAACTCTTAAACTCTTATACTACTAAAACTCTATAATAATTCCCTAATCAAACTCTTAACTAATCCTCCTAGTCAAACAATTACTCCTAAATTAAATAATAATTACACTAATTCTAATAAACTGTCAATTACACTTTTCTTTGAACCAAAAATTTTCGCCCAAGCTTCCAAAGTCAATTATATTGGTCTGACCAACCAACAGCTGCACCATCACCTAGCCAACACACAGTGTTGGGGTATCCCCTTTTAGTTGTACAGGAAAAACTTAGAAACGTAGGATTGAGAGTTTATCAATGTAAATGTATGATACATGTTTAGTTACCCACCTACTGCAGACAAACACGTGCTTGTAATGTCTGTGCCTATGTGACATTAGGAGTGTGTTAGATTTGATGCTTATAGAATAATGTTTCTGCTTGCTTGATTATGATACAACCACCATATTTGTTTGGTGTGTCTTCGTCCAAGATTAAACAAAGTCCCCGAATTAGAGCATCCACAACCTGTAAATAGTGAGCAAAACCTTTCTAACAACAGCAGGTGAAAAATAAACCTATTAAAATGAGCATAGCTCAGAGCAAAAAAGAGTGAGATAAAGTTGCCTTAGAGGCCATCTGCAATATAGATGAGTAACTGGGCTATCAACTGAGCTGCCATGGAACGGAACTAGCTACCTTGCAAAGCTCTACAGAGAAGACTTTCACAAACTCCATGCGAGTCCTCATGAACAACTTCATTAACCAGGGACTTCCCTTTTGCTTCACTAGCTTGTAATACTGTCAATTCCGCCATCTTTGCATTCCACACATTGACTAATCCTGAATCCTGATACATCAACCCCAAAAATCGGAGCAGTAGCTGTCTCAATCAATCTGACCATTTCACAAGCCACTGAACTAAGTTCATCAAATCCCTGCCGCACAGACGTATTCTGTTGAGAGTGTACCATCGATTTTGGACCACTGTCTTCAATCTCTTCAAAGGAATCACTCAGTATAAGCTGCAAAGAGTGAAAAACATTAATCTCCGAAACCTCCCAAGGCAAACTTCCGCTTTTAGCCACTTCAAGAAAAGCTTGGAATGAAGATCTCGGGTGCATTCTTCCACCATCATCTTTATCCACTGGGTGATGCTTTGCCCCTCCCCATTTGACTTCCTTTGCAGTGTGGGACCTGAACTAAACTAAGAAATTCCTAGATGTAATTCTTGCAGTAGCCATGCCACAGACTGCATCAACCAGGAGGGCTGCGCCAGGATGACCAGCATTGGCCAGACTATCTGTACTCAACCCTGTGGATTCCCCATCAATAATAAGGTTGGCATCCGGAGAATTTTCTTCTCTGCCAACTGTGATGCCAACTGAAGCTCCATGAAGAGCTGTAGGCCAAATGCTTGCATCAGGAACTTGCAAGCATAGCGAAGCGGGAAAGGCACATTGCGTGGTGAAGTGTGGTGACATACTACCAATCCCCATACTTCATCGAGTAGCGTAATCACAAATAAGGTTCCAAATCAGACCTCCTAATTTCTGACACAACTTCACCATGATCATCATCATGGAACTTATACACCAAAACCCTGTCATAGCCAGTAAGCTTCTGAACATCTTCCACAACAGTGTCACACAAACCACCTATATCTCCTCCAGGGAGAGATTGCAGTCTAGAAATTGCTCGAACAGCAAGTTTCTGTGACAGCATTGCTCTAGCAAGCGACAATGTCGCTTGCAGGATTACCCGAGTGCGCAGGCTCCAAATCTATCACAATTCCCACATCAATTCTATGTAGTATAGCATAAAATGGTTTGTGGGTACTCCTGGAATGAACCCAAATTGGGTTTAGCAGCGAAATTTCCCTAGATGCGACGGCTTTCGCCAAAGAAGCCCTTCCCTAAACCCTAAACCCTGACCCATTAACTGTTGTGACTCATCAAGATAATTCAAACCCAACAATTCAAAGCAATTGTCACTATAACCTATGATTTTGAAACTGGGTTCTTCAATTGCAACCATACAACCAAAGCGTTGTATAAGACCACCCCTCTGAATTGTTGCTAGATAAGCAGAAATTTGTTCTTCAGGTACAGTTTTTGTGCATGAATAACTGATCTCGAGTAGTTAAAGGACTTGCCAGACTCACCAGACTGCTCAAACTCAGCCATAAGCCTAGCATCAGCGCTGTACTGAGCCAAAGTTTTGTTGGTGTTTATGTTGCTAGCACCCGAGGAAGAGAATATAGCTGTATCGTTGTTGTTGTTGGGGTTTGTGCCTGTTCTCTCTCATCTTTCCTTGCTGTCCAACTTCATTTTATGATAACTTGTTGGTGGGTTTTTCTCGGGAAGAACTCAAATGGGCTCAGTACTGGTACTGGTAGCAGCTGGATCATTATCATGATTGTACTTGTTTCTATTGTTGCTTGAGCATTGTTGTAGCTTCCCCACATTTTTTTCCAATGGTTCTTTTTATCTTGTTCTAATTCTGCAATTGATGGTTCCAATAAAATCTCAATTGAAACCGTTAGTTTCTGGCCAAGTATTCTCTCTCTCTCTCGTCATTTCTATTTGTCTTCGTAGTGTCCGTGCAATCTGCTTATTTTTGTTTTTACTAGGATTCGAGGAAAGACAAAAAATTTGCAAAATAATCAAACTTTAACAATTCTCTTAAGTTAGATTAGGGAGAATTTATTTAGATGAATTTTTTAATTTTGATATAGATAATCTAACTTTAATAAAATAAAAAAAGAGATTAATCCACGTACATATAAACGAGTCCGAATACCTCTAACCGTAACAGCACCAAAAAATAAAAAACTGCAAAAAGGGAGTTGGATTTTCTAATAATCCAATTACATTATGTGGGTGCAGTAAGAATATAATCTAAGGGATTTTATATATTATTTTTTAATTAGATCAAATTACGATCAAAATAGATTATATTATCATTTTATAAGATCGTTTTAAGATCAATCTAAAAAATATAAAATCCACTTTTGTGCATTTATTAGGGCTGATCTCCGATTTTTGAGTCTCATTTAATCATAATTTTGACATAATTGGATTATACAATTTGTTCGAAGTTTTCTGGTATGGGTCTAAACAGGGCCCTTAGATTTTTGGAAAAAATATCAATAAGTATTATTTTTTCCTATAAATATCTATTAAGTCTTATTATTTTTGTTTTATATCAATGAAGTCCTATTTTTAATATTTTATTGTAATTAAGTCCTAATTTTATTATATTCTAATTTAATCATTAACCTTAAGTTAACAAAACACTTTCATTCTTTATAAATTCTTATGTCAACTAAACTGCACACTCTTGGGACTTTTCAATTGTTGTGTGTGTTGAGAATTAATTTCGCAGCAATTTAGTCAGTAAAATGACAAGAAAATAAATAAGCAGAATAAAGAAAAATCAAAACACAACTCAAAATATCAAGATTTATGTGGTTCAGCAAAATTAATTTGCCTACGTCCACGAAGTGTGATCCAGTCTCCTTTCTTTATTATTGATAGTAAATGAGTACAATGATACAAGTCTCAACATTCAGGTTTAAATCACAAATACAAGCTTTTAAACCCTTATACAATTCACTCAACCTTACCCTCTTAAACCCCGTGTATAGAAAATCTTTCGTACTCTTAACAAGAGAATTGAAATTGAATAAACACAACTCGGGGATGATCTCAAAACCAAGAGACTCATGCCTATTTATAGACATCTTAAGGTGGTGGCAGATGACCACTTTTGTATTTAAGCAATGTATTTGATTGTTCTACTTGTATCATCCAATAAAATTTTAGCAATGACATCATCTAATCAATTATAAAGGAAGTCTTATCTCATTCAAGTAATGAAATTGCTCTACTTGTATCCTTTAGTAAAATTTTACCAATGATATCATCTAACCATTTACACAGGAACAATCATCTCATTCGAACAATGAAATTGTTCCACTTGTATTCTCCAATAAGTTTTTAGCAATAACATTATCTACCAATTAATTTTTTTTTTTCTTTCTGAAATTGAGCCACCGCCTCATAGTGAGATTTTGCATTCCTTTAGTATGCCAACTTCCGGGACACACAGCTTATCAATGGGTATGTAGTGTGCATTCTTTTTCCTCGCAACAAACTAATACATTGATTAAGGTAATATTTATATATTTAAGCTTCTATTGATACATTATATTCGTGGTTTTGGATTATTCTATTAATTTATATTATATTAAAAATGATTAAGTTAGGGTTTTATTTTAGTTGTTGTCTTTAAATTGATAACATTAAGGTGGAATTAATTGACAAACATTATTGATGTATGTTTTTTTAACCTTTTCTTATTTTATTGAATAAACGGAGGTTTTTTTTTATGGGTTTCAATGTTAATAATAGTACAAACACATGGATCTTCAATTTTTGTTTAGGTAATAGCATTCACTTCAATTGTGATTCAAAAATCACAAAGCACTTGAGTTTTGGTCTTGAAACTCTTCTTCATCGAAAATACATTGGGTTCAAATCCATCTATTGCATCTTATAATCACAGTTCTAAAAATTATTAATAATTGATTTTTTTTTATAAAACTAGCAAGTAGATAATACATAATTTAAGAATGATAGGACTTAATAATTGTGTCAATTTTATAATCGGTGTCGTATCGGGCTTAAAAGTTTACACACCTGAGTATCACCCAAATCTCCTTTCTTTGTCTCTATTTTTCCTGGAGACCTCTATATCAATATTCCCGTGTCTCGCTTAGCTCTTTCCCCCGAGTCACGCCTCAAACCCCTTCACTTCCCTGTCTCAGACTCTCAGGTATCTCTTCCTCCAACATTTTCTCTTCGCCTTCGCCTTCCCCTTCCCATCCTCTCCTCACCCATACACTCCTCTGCTCACACTATCTGCGACAGAATATACATACTCACAAATATCATTCTCCCTCAAACCCAATTTATTCCTTTCCTTCCTTCCCATCCCCTTTGTCATTCTTTCTATCTGCTACACTCCCTGCGACCCCCGAGCCAGCCAGCCACTCCCACGCATCCCCCACCCCTTTGTAGGGTTTGTAATATCATTTGACACTTCATGTAGTTAACTGTTTCAATTTGCAGGTTCAATTTTTTAATTTTATTTGTCCTAAGAAGACTTCATTCCTATTATTTTCACTTTTTTTTTTTGTAGTTGACTCGGTCGGATTTCATTGTACCAATGAACACAATGTTTTTTCACTTTAAACAAGTTGAAAATCAACTCTAATTTGATGAAATTTTTTATGATTTTCATATTGACATTAACAATATTTAAAAAACATACTGTTTTGGCTTTGTAAACACAAAACATTGATAACCCCTAAAATGCCAAATGCATTCCCAAGATTCCTAAAATAGAATTTACAAAGTCTTCAAAAGGCTATGAGGCAAAAGAAGTTGTAGAAGCTTGGGTCAAAAGATGTAAATTAAATTTGGATTTTAAATATTTATTCTCATTTACACAATGTTTGACTTTTTGAAACGACCTAATTGTGACAAACATGTCACAATATTATTTATCTTGCGAAATTTATTTAAATGTTGGAAACATTGATTTTGTAACTGTGGAATTTTACAGGTTTTTTATGAAAAAAAATTTGAAAAAATCCATTTGTTTACATGTTATCTGTTAGAAGTTGAAAAGGACGAAGGAGGAAAAAAATTGCTAAAACGTAATGTGAAAAAGAGAGACAACAAGGTTGAAACAGTTGGTAGTCTACGTGGAAAGGACAAATAGGATAATGTTGAAAAGGACGAAATTCATCAAGAAAAAGGAACACATGAACAAGAATATGATGTTCGTGAAAACAGTCCGTGGCAGGAGGACGATTTGTTGATTAACGTTTGTAGCTACCCGAAAAATTAGCACTTTTACCCTCACGTCACCGTCTCAACTTAAGGCTCTGTGCCTATAAATTGTAAGCACTTTCTACATGAGAGAACATCTATCTCTACACCTCTCTACATGCCCTATACATAACTTTTCTCTCTTCTAGTTATTGTACCTCTCTCAAAGCTAACTATTGCTCTCTCTTTCGTTCACCTTACCTAATCAATAAAGGTCCCCCGACCATCGTTGTCATTTTTCGGAGTGGAATAGGTCATTCGGACTAAATCACTATATATCTGTGTGTTGATCCTATATTTACATTATTGTCATTGATTGCTTTATTAATTGTTCATTAATTACACTTTACACGCACTCGACTATTAATCTTGCATAAATCTATTTTGTGTATCATCAAAAGATAAAGAAAACCAAAGACAATTACAATATGTTACAGGAACTGCCTTGTAGTTAAATATGAGTTTGAATTATACTTCATTTGAATTCATGTTGTTTCAACGTATTAACATGCTTGAGTTTGAAATCTTTTACCTTTCTTTGTCTGCATGTTTCCTACAAAGGATTATTCTTCTTGTATAACTATGCTCTTCATTTGTATTGCATCAAGTTGATATATCAATAAAATCTTTGTTTTCTGTTGAAAAACAAAAGGTTTGCTGTCCCATGAAAGAGAAATAGTTATAAAAGAAGAAAAGAAAAGAAAAGAAAAAAAATAACTAGCAATATGTTTTCATTAACTAAACATTCTAAACTAGGTAAAGTAAATTTCACTAACACCCCCTAAAAAATAGCCTACTTGTAGAGACATCCCTATAGTTTCTAAAATATTACTGCCACCCTCTGTTAGATTTTGTTTTTAACGAAATAGACAAAAATTCTACTTACATAATTACCCTTAACAATTTTTTTTTTTACTCATTTACCCTTAATAGAACATTAAATTTCATTAATTTTAAATTTAATTTTATTAAAATCAATTGTCAATTTCATCAAATTTATTAATTTTATCATTTAACATTTACTTTCATTAATTCAAATATTAATTTCATCAATTTAATACCAAATTAATATTTTAAAATTTAATTTCATCAAATTAAAGTCAAATTAATATTCAATTTAGGATTTAGTTTCATCAAATTGTACTTCAATTTTATCAAATTAAATTTTAATTTAATCCAATTAAAACCAATTTCATAATTTAATACCAATTAACATTCAATTTCGGCACACCCCTATTCTATTTTTTTTTTGACGCAATTTTTTCTTCTGCTTTTTTTTACATCTATTCTTTTAGATGTCAACAATC